AAGCCTTTCTTTTGCCTCTCTGACTTTGCACTTAAGCGCCTGCCACTAGTTGGGCAAAGCAGAGCTTGGAGAGAACAGCTGGACATAGATCCCCGACTCCCATCTCTCCCTGTTAACCCCTCCTGAACACCTACTTGGCTCGAATAGCCCATAAACCAGAACAAAACCCAGCAAGGGATTGACTGCAGTTGGCAAGATGGGAAGATCTCACAGGAGCAGACAGCATCTTCTCCCTTGCGTTGGCCATCGCGCTCGTCGGAGGATGGCTTGCTCCCTTGCACAGCTGCTAACAGACAGAAATGTGCTTGTGCTGCTTGGATTTGCTGGGCTGTGCTGGCTGCTCGCCCCGTGGTGCTGCGTGGCCAGTGAGACCGTCTTGCAAACCTGCCTACTCTGCTGCAGCCTCGGTTTATCACTTAGTTAAAAGTGTTGACAGCACCACGCGGAGCGGTGCAGGTTCACAGCTGAGCCGGGATTGCTCAGCTCCTTGGCAAGAAAATGACAGGTCCCAAAGACTTTCTGTCTCTCCAAGGAAATCCTATGGTGCTTGTAGGGATGTTACCTGGATCAGCAGCAGGAGGAAAAGGCTGGGAGGTAATGGGAGCCTTTTTGCTTGAGAATACCATGCACATGAGATGAGGTTGGCAGCAGTGAAGCTCTCCCCACTTCCCAGCTGCCTTCTGGCTCTGGTGCATCCACCCCCTGCGAGGCTGCACTGGTGGGGAGAGCCTGGAGAAGGAGCTGTGACAGGGAAACCTGGATGGAAAACAGGAGCTGGGGTTCCTCCTGCCCAAACCTTGGGGGTGCAGCCCTTTGGAGGCTGAGAGCAAGGCAGGAGACAGGCTTCGGTGCATCCTTATTTTTTGGAAAAGAAGCAAGGGCATGGCACAGAGAACCTCCTTCTGCACCACCAGATCTTTGTTCTGGATGGATGCAACTGTGCACACCTGGAGGAGAGGCAGGCAGCCGGCCCCGGCATGTCACAGGTGCCGGCAGAGGGCACGGTCACCTCCTCGGAGCCACCGGCCACGTAAATCCCTGCTGGACAAGGAACAGCCCACCGAACCAAATTGTAAATACATCTGTGTCCTCCTTCTCCCTGCCACACATTTAAATCTGTTTGATCCACCCTAATGGATTGATCTACAAGTTTGTGCACACACATCCTGCTTTGGACGGGGCGGCTGGCAGCGCCTCGCCCATCACAACCTGTCAGCTCCGCTCAGCCTCACCTCCGCCGGGAACGAATCCAATTACAGGATAAAGGGTTTTCTTCCCCTCCATATGGTCTCTATAACGCTCTGGCTTTATCTTTCTTTAACCCCTTTCCTGGCGAGGGAGCTCACAAGCCCGGCGTAAGCGGCTCAGCGCAGCGGCCGCACACGGCTGCTATCTGATACGGGGGAACCAGGTCTTCCCAGGGCAGCCGAGGGTACCGGGAGGCACCACAATATTTGCACCTTCCTCCCTCTTCTCCTGTTCCCCAGGGAGGAACGAGCCCCTCCAGAAGGGAGATCCAACACGTTGCAAAACCAGCCAGAAGCACAAAAGCGAGCTCAGCACCGCTTTGCACCCAGCGTTGGTGCCCGTGGTTAAGGTTCACGGTCCTGTGCGTTAGTCCGTCACCAGAACTTAAGCACAGATGTTTGCTTCACGACTGATTTCTTTTGCTTTCACGTTTCTCTACACCTTCCTCTGCAAGGCATCCCCTGTGATCCCCAGGGCTGGTCGCTCCTGTGCCTTTGCCCGAGCAGCAAGGATGGGGGGAGGCACCACGAAGGGCTCCCAGCTGCCACCGCTCCGGGAAACCCACCTGCCCTGGCACATCCGCCTGCTTTGCTCTGCCTGTTGCTCGAGCCTGGTGAACCAACCGTATGAGCTCAGTGCAAGGCAGTTATTTGATTATAATTATCATTTCTTGCTTTACACAGGACATGCAAGCCCAGAGCGGCTCAGGGCTCCGTCACGCAATGTGCTGACAAACAATGAATAAGAGACAATCTCATCTCAAAGAGCTTAGCAAAGCAGAAAAAAAAATGCAAGAAGGAAGCAAAGTCTTCCTTTTCTTAAGCACTAACACAAAGAAAACAAGCGTCTCCTCTCGCGTTAAACGGGGCCTGAATTTTGCTCTTGCCTTCTTTGTCGTGGAGTCAGCACGGGAAACAATTGAGAGCTCTCTGGGAGACAGCCCATAAAGTTCCCCTGCTAAGAGACACCAAATTAAAGCCATCACTTTCCATTTCTGCGACAGAGACACAGAGGGAACCGAGGTTGCATTCAGGACACGTCCTGGAGGAACCAGCTATCCTCTCCGGTGTCATTTCCCTACGCCGAGTTTACGCGAGGCCTTCGGCATTGCTCCGGGTGTCGCTGACCTGCCGAGAGCGCTAAATCCATCAGCCCCCTGTTAGCACGACAGAGGAGATTCCAGCTTACCTGCTCGGTGTTCTGCTCCCAAAAAGGGGAAAAAGTCCTGGTCCAGGTCTAGCTGAAGGTCAAGTGAAAGTCCTCTCGGTCTAGTTGTTGGCAATCCTCTGTGTGAAAGGTTTCTGGGCACCATCCATGAGGCCCAAGTTGCACCACAGCTTAGCTGAAAGAAAGAGTGGAAAGGGTTTGCACTGATCAAGGGAAAAATAAAAAAATCTCTGTGAAAAAAAATACTGCTGGTGCTTTCCCCCACCACCCAAACCAGACTGTCATTTCACCTCTTCTCCCCATAGCTGTGCTTCATTTGTACAACTCTTTACTTTTTAGGAGAAGACGGGACACCACAAAGGTGTGGCAGAAAATCTCACAGAGCTGGGAGGTGAAAATTACTTTCTGGAAGTTGAAAATTAACTTTCCCATGAGAGAACCGTGTACATATACAAAGCCTTGGAGAAGTACCAGAGCTTTCAGATGCTGCTGGCACCGCAGCAAGGTCCAAGTCTTTTGGAGGTGGACCATCATAGTGAAATCTTTTAGCTGAAGAGAGTTGCTTTCTACTCTTGGAAGTTGGGAGGGACAGACTGGAATTGAGATGAACATCTGTACACATCTGTTTATGTGTATTAGCTTTTCTGGTTTCTCCTCTAATACTCAACTAATTCTGCAAAAACTTGCCCAAGTTCTGTATGTCCAGAAGCCTGACTTTGGTCAGGAAAGGCATGAAATACCTCCAGGGAAAGCTCCAGGGAAAAGCCTCCAGTGAGAAGTAAGGCTAAGGGACTTAAAAAACTCTTCCCCTCAAGGAAGAGCTTGTGGACAGCCTAGGAAAGACCTAGACTGGGAACTTCATGACTGGAGGTTTCACAGGACATGCAGTGAGATATTCTGAGAGGCACAGATATCCCATGGGGAGTCCTTGTCCCAGGGCGTCTGAGGCTGATGTGACCCACTTACTCTTGCCATGTCCTAGTTCTGCTCCTCTTGGACCTGTGCAGACGGATCAGCGGGTCAGCGATTAAGACATCATTCATCTCACCCACACCCCTTAGCCTTCCGCTCCTGCTCCCTGGCTCTGAGACACTCCATTCTTGGAGAAGACCTCATTCATCCAGCAAGGCAGCATTGACTTTTTCCATCCACCTTGTCTTGGCGGAGGGCAGCTGTGGGAAAGAGGCTAACAGCTTACGGCATTAACAGATCAGGGCCATTAACGCCACCAGATGTCAGAGATTAATGGCAGAGCTTCGCTAAGGCGCCTTAGGCAGGTCTCCTGGAGAAGGAACACCCATGACCCAGAAGGAAAAAATGGGGAAAGAGCTTGGGATGGAGCATTGGTGCTCTAAGCTGGCACTGACCCTGCTGAAGAGGATTTCAGAGTCTTGTGTGTGCTGAGATGGGGATCCCACATCCCCAACTGAGTGTTAAGAGACCATGAGACGCTTCTTTCCATCCCGCTTGCTCTCCCAGAGTGGCTACCAACTAGTGCTGGTGTCTCTGGAGGGAATTCAGGACATCAGCATCACTGAGGCTTTCTCTTGCCTCCCCCGGGCACTCAGGCACTGCTTCTCCAGCAAGCAGCAGCACTTTGTCAGGCTGGTTTCAGAGCTGTGGCTGAGGACCCTCCCTAAACCCCACTGATCCTTGCAAAGCTGCAACCTGGATTGGTGTCCCACTTGCTGAGTCGGGGAGGAGGCTCGGGTGGGAAACGCTCACCAGCAGCTCCCTGGGAGAGAGGGACTCGCGGGGCTGACCATGTCACGTCCATCCATCCATCCCGGTTGGATGGTGTACTCCCTCCTGTCCTGCCAGAGATCCTTGGAGGATCAGCTGCATAACGTAGATCCTTCAGCCCAGAGAGGAGGAAATTCACAGCCTAACTCTAATATAACCAGGGAGCATGATCCAAGAGACCTGCCCCCAAGATGTTTACCAAGATTGTAGCCTTTGGGAGGGGAAGTGGCTCAGACCCACAAAGCTCAGTCCAGTCTTCCCCTAGAGACCTCCCCAAAGTCAATGGGGCAGAGCTGGGCACTACCCAGTCCCCAAACTCTCCCATGGAGTCCTGCAGCACCCAGGGACACCCCAAAGGCTGTGACCCACCACGGACCCATTTCCCCATCAATCACCCAAAGCAGCCGCTCCCCAACTCACCCCCGCTCCGCCTGCCTTTGCCCCTCTTCCAAAGGGCTCCCCACCCCATCCCTTCCTCCCCCCAACTCCTTAAACAATATTAAACCCTTAATGGCAATTAATACGCTTTAATGCAGGTTTTGGGGCCAATTGGCTGCTTAGAGGGTGCTTAAACCATCAACCCCTCTCAATCCCGTTGCCCTTGTCATATAAAGTTAGCCGAGCCCCTAATCCAGCCTCCCCCCGCGCTCCCTCGAGGAGGCCGAAGGGTATAAAACCTCCCCTGGCACGCGGGCACCGCCAGCCCTCGACGCGGAGCAGGGGCAGCGCACCACCTCCCGTCCCCTCGGGATTTACTGTTGTTCTTATTAATTAATTAATTGTTTTGAGGGGGGAGGCTCTTTTAGTTGGGTATTTTTCCCATATTGGGGGGGGGTGCGGCTTTTTTTTTTTTTTTTGAATCGAGGTTGAAGCAAAATTAATTACAAAACCAGAGCATTTGATTTAAAAAAAAAAAAAAACCACAGCAAACAACCTTAAAAGCCAAGCAGCTGCCATAACGTTGGCAGGATGAACGGGACGGAAGGTATCAATTTTTACGTGCCTATGTCCAACAAGACAGGGGTGGTGCGAAGCCCCTTCGAGTACCCCCAGTACTACCTAGCCGAGCCCTGGAAATACCGCATCGTGTGTTGCTACATCTTCTTCCTCATCTCCACCGGTTTGCCCATCAACCTCCTCACCCTCCTGGTCACCTTCAAACACAAGAAGCTCCGGCAGCCGCTCAACTACATCTTAGTCAACTTGGCGGTGGCTGACCTCTTCATGGCCTGCTTTGGCTTCACCGTCACCTTCTACACTGCCTGGAACGGCTACTTTGTCTTTGGACCCATCGGCTGTGCCGTGGAAGGCTTCTTCGCCACGCTGGGAGGTAAGGGCCATGGGGTGGGAGCTTGGGTCTTGCTTCTTGAGGGCTTTAGGAGCCCAGTTCCACCCCTTCATCATGCTATTGGGGGGGCTGCAATGCATGCAGCATCTCTCCCGTGCAGAAAACCATCTCGCGTGCCGCTGCGGCGTCGCAGCTCGTTGCATGGGGCAGAGCTCGCCATGCAAAGTGCTCCTTCCCTGAGGCTTAGAGACGGGGATGAAGAGAGAGATTTTGATCTTGGTGCCAAGGAGCACCCAACGCACAGCTAGAAGGGATCCTTGTTTGCAGGATCCAGCGTGGGGTCATCCAGCCGCACTGCCTGGTGCGCATTCCCCCCTGAATGTCACACTGAGGTTGTGCAGCTGGCAGAGACCTGCTGGGGAGGACCACATCACGTCCTTGAATCAACATCGAGCATCTTTGCCAAAGGGCTTCCATTTTTGGGAAAAGGTGAAGCACTGGGGAGGGTTCAGGGGGGAAGAGACATCCCTTGGGAGAGAGACCCTGCAGAAGTGTGTATGGACCTGGAGAGGAGGAGTCAAGGAGAGGGGTCACAGCTTATCTAGGGGTAAAAGGAAGATGTGGCAGGTCTTAACCAGAAAAGAAGAGCAGCAGCATGGAGAGGAAGGAGGGTTCAGGTTTGCACAGAGCCAGGCAAGCCAGGCCTGAGCTCTGCAGCAACTGCTCAGCTCTCGTCCCAGTTGCACCCAATTTGGGCGCCCTTGGAAGCTTCCTTATTTCATTTCTCAGGGACATGGGAGCCTCTAACACTTCGCCCTGCAGAAAGCCCCCGTGCAAAAGAGGGATAATTCATTTTGCACCCCGTGCCCACGCAGCCAGCCGGGCCCACACAACACCTCGTGATGGATCTGACAACCGCTAATCCTTGCTGCAGAGATCCACAGCCACTGCAAGGACTTCCTTTTTTTATTTTTTTTTCCCCCCTAAATGGGGCCATTTCCTGCAACGATGCTGATCTGGGGAGAAAAAAAAAAAAAAGAAAAAAAAAAGAGATGGATATTTGGATATTCTGCCAGGCAAAAGCAAAATGAAACATTCTGATCCAAGCCAAGGACCGGGGAAGGGCTTGGTCTTGGGGTCAGAAGATCATATGGGTCTGCACCATTTCTGACCAAGTGAGCCTGTGAGCTTTCAGGCAACATTTCTCACCCTTCCCGTGTTTGTGTCTAGTAAAGAACAAGGAGGCTCCTAAGGAAGCAGGTTTGATGGGAAGCAGTGACTGTGCGAGCAGCAGGTCTCCAGCGAATCCCAGCACAGGGTGTAGTTATCAGCAGATTATCACAGCTGGGGGCATTAGCAGGCTTACAGCACCGACTAAACGCTCCCAATCCCCTGAAGTTTAATTATCCCTTATAAATACATGTGCACGCATGCCCACCCACACAGCCTCCCCCACACACCTCCCCTGATCCAGCGCTGGCGAAAGACTCACGAAATACACATTTAAAGGCATCAACAGGTTCGGATGCATCTGGCATCTTTGCCGGAAATTGTGCTTCCTCGCACCCAGGTGGAATTCACCCTCTTGATTTTTAAATTTGTAATCACAAACCCCCACGGATGGTCCCCTCCTCCATCACCAGCATCCCGCTGCGGCGCAGACGCTCCCCTCGGCTCCCAGACCCTTTGCACGTTACAGCCGGGAGGTTCTCAGTTATTCCATAGGATGCTGGTTATCCCTGGCCGATCCCCAACTCCTCAGTTCCCTCTGCTCTTCACTGCGACCACGAGACCATGAAGGGAAGATCAAGCCCAGAGAAGCTCTTACCACCACCGTTCGCTCTCTCTTTCTCTCCCTGACGCAGGCCAGGTCGCCCTGTGGTCCCTGGTCGTCTTGGCCATCGAGCGCTACATCGTCGTCTGCAAACCCATGGGAAACTTCCGCTTCTCCGCAAGTCACGCCATGATGGGCATCGCTTTTACCTGGATAATGGCCTTTTCCTGTGCTGCTCCACCCCTCTTCGGCTGGTCCAGGTGGGTCGAAGGATGCTCAGCAGCAGCCCCAGCCACTGTGCAAACACCCCGGTGGGATAAGACACGAAACTCCCTGGGGCTCCAGTTGAGATGAGAAACGGGGCGAGTCGGAGCAGAAACGAGGCCTCAGCTGTCAGTCTGATGATGGCTCAGTGTCCCCTAACCAAAGGCAGTCACAGGCTCAGCATCTCCACCTCCAGTAGCCCTCCGTGCTCCCTTTATGCTCTGCAGAGAAACCGGAGCTCTCGTAGGCACGGCTCGTCCAGCCACGCCGAGAGGGGCACATTTTTCTCTGCAGACAGTAAAGAACATTTGAATGACCAGACCAGCAGGCACAGCAGCTCTAGGGGGGCAAACCTGGCCTTGCTGACCTGCTGCTACCCCAGCATTGCTCCCGGGAGCCCCGCAGCACGTTTCCCCTCACCCCTGCCGCGCTCTT